GCAGGCAGCTCCCGCATTGAGTGTCTGCCCTTTGATGGTCAGTGCACGACATAGCAACTGGTTGTTCTACAGGTTGGGCAATTTGCATATTAGGCTTTTATTATATAGGATTCAACACACATAATGATGAGTATGAGTTTGGTGCAAAAAACAGATAATGGTGGCACTCTTAATTACTCTGAGTTTTCCTGGAGGATTGATTTTTAAATTGGATTCAGTTAAGATCACAGCCAAACATATAACCTTCCTTGGCAGCATAAATGAAAAGTTAACAGGTAACTTTCCATCTAAATAGAAAGGAAGTGTACACTGGTATAAATGGCACTGTGAGACAATAACTCAAATTGGATGTGAGCAGTTTAAGAGGTAGCACTGGCCTTAGGGTGTGTAATTGTCCTTCTCACTGCAATGGCTCTTCTTTCACTTGTTTATGTGCATCATAACTGGCAACAATGACCAAACGTGGTGTCTTCCATTCTACTCTTTGAAAAATCTACCCAGAGCAGGTCAAAAGGCTCTTAAAATTCCCATCAAATCCTACTGAGAGCATTATTAAAATGTTTTATCTTCCTGAGAATCATTACCCATATTTTTCAGATGCCCTATAAAGAAAACAGACATGTAAGAAAATAAAATGATGTACCTGTGGTAACAAAGTGGGTTAAGAGTTGGTTAGGGAAGCCCCTCTCAGAAGAATGTCTCCTTCAAGACCCTTTCCCCCGGTGGCTTTAATCCACCCCAGGTAGAAGAGTGTTACAGCAATCACACTGCATTGCATCAGGTGACCAGCATCTAGAATACTGTGGGATTTGTGAAAATTCTCTTCTATTCTTTGGATTTCAGTTGCATAATTAGTAAGATGAGTGATATGAATTAGATGGTCTCTTACACTAATACTATCATGTGACCATTACAACCAGTATCTCCAGGCATCTGCTTTCATAAGGCAACCTCTGTCTACTAAATCGATAGAAATACAAGCACAATAATACTACAGGAATGATAGCAAAACAGGGAATGTTAAGCAAATTTGATGTCAGTTCCAGAGAGACAATGCTGACATAAAGAGATGCAGGTCACAGAGATAACAGCACAAATATTTTTTAAAATTAAAAATTAGAATAGAAAACAATGTTTAGATATTGTTTGTAAGCAAAATGTGAAATATATACCATGGGTAGTTGATGGAAGAGAAGTCACAGTTGCTGATTTATAGACAGAGAAAAGCCCTCTTTTTCTTATGTTGAGTTTCAGAGAGGAAACAGGATTTCACAAGCAACTTGCATTAAAAGCAAACAAACAAAAACGAGAGAAGCAGGACATCTCAGCTCAGAGAGATAATCCAGTTTTGGAGCAAGTTTGAAGTGGGAGTGGTATAGTGTGACAATGAATCCGAGACAACTGGCCCGGGAAAACAAATGAAGCTCTCTTTGGCTGCTCTTCATGAAGCAAATTTTAAAATTAAATTTCCAGGCAAAACCAATAAAAAATATCATGCATTCTTGGAAGGAACTAAGGATCTTTTCACAATTCTCTGGTAAAAAGCAGAATCGTCCTTCCCTGGTGTAGTATCTGCAATTGTGCAGGCAGTTGACAAGACTTCCCACAGTTGACACAGTGAAACAGAAGAGCAGCAGGCAAAAAAGCCCAGGGATTGCAGAACATAGCGCCTCTGAAACAGCACCTCACTTTCTGGTTGCCAACAACTCAAATTATTTATAGGAGATTGATTCATATACTTAACCCAATGAGAGAGGAAATATTTCTAATTATATCCAAACATCTTTAATATGAAGGGAATTATGTTTGGAGACCTTCATTGCCAAAAACATGTTTTGCCAAACATGTTTTAAGAAAGAGGAGGAGGCTACGTTGTTTTCCATATTTGATCCTATAACAGAATCCTTGGAATGAGTATGGCTTGTCTTTCCTCATAAAGCTATAAAAGTGCCCTTGGAATGAGTATGCCTCGTCTTTCCTCATAAAGCTTCAAGGTAAGTGTGTGGGAGGACAGGGCTCTGTGCGAAGGACGGTAAGGGATGCCTGGCTGCCCTCACACATGCCAGGCCACATATCCTGGCTCCCACTGCCCCTGGCAGCCCTGCCAGTGAGGCACCAACGTACTCCGGAGCAATTTTAATTAGACGTTTTAGTGGCCCCAGTCATTTTCTGGTCCCGTCTTAAGAATCATGCAGGCTATAATTGGGAATTGTTAGAATGTAATGCAGAATAAATTTGTCTTTTTTCTTGCAGTTCTGATCCACTTCCAGATTGCAGCTCTAAGGTAAGAGACTGATTTTTTTCTCATTCCGCAAGGGTGCAAGAAACCTTCTGCAGTGGTTTGGAGAGTGCTCAGGGGTTAACAAATAAAAGCATTTCAATTCCATGGATGG